CATGGGAGCACTCTTGGGAGTGGGAAGGACCCAGGGGTGACTCAAGAACTGCCATCCCTAGCATGAGCAGTCTGCAGAGCAGTCCTCATGGCTGGGGGTGTGCGTTGTCGCCTTTTCTGGTCTAGGGGCGTGAGGCCCAAAGGGCTCTGGAGAGAATCTGCTTCTGGCAGACCTTGTTCCACCCCTTTTGAGAGCTGGCCAAGGTAGTGGGAGGAATGGCAGCCAATGCTTGCCACAAGGGAAGCAATGGAAAGATGGTGGCACATGACCTCTGACCCCTCCTTTGCTGTCAGTGCTCAGGCAGACTGAGAAAGGCAAGCCAGCAGCTTTGATGGTGTCAGTTGTGATTGCCACCTCTCAAGTTTATTTTTTTTTAACTCTTTGGGGCCTACCACCCAGCTCCCAAATAAATACATAGAGACTTATTCTTACTTATGAATGCCCGGCCTTAGCTTGGCTTGTTTCTAGCCAGCTTTTCTTAAATTATCTCATTTCTCTTTAACTACTATTTTGCCTCTGGGCTTTTTACCTTTCTTTGTTCCATATACCCCTCTTTCCTTCTTACTCCGTGGCTGGCTGGGTGGCTGGGTGGCTGGGTGGCTGGCTGGCTGGGTGGCTGGGTGGCTGGGTGGCTGGCTGGCTGGGTGGCTGGGTGGCTGGCTGGCTGGGTGGCTGGGTGGCTGGGTGGCTGGCCCCTGAAGTCCTCTTCTCACTCCTCACTCTTCTCACTCCTCACTCTTCTCAGTCCTTGCTCTTAAGCCTAGATTTCTCCTCCTATTTATTCTGCCTGCCTGGCAGGCCTGCCTCTCTCTCTCCTGCTAGCTATTGGCCAACTTTATTAGACCAACCAGGTGATTTAGACAGGCAAAATAACACAGCTTTACAGAGTTAAACATATGTAACATAAAAGAATACAACACATCTCTGCATCATTAGACAAACATTCCACAGCATAAATGACTGTAACACACCTTAAACTCATATTCCACAACAACTTCTCTTACTCAAGTACCTCATGTGGAGGATATTTTTATTTTTAATTAATACTTTGGTTTTTCCCTAAGGAAATAGAAGCAGTCATTAAAAGTCTCCCAACCAAAAAAATCCTAGGGCCAGATGGTTTCAGTGCAGAATTCTACCAGAATTTCAAAGAAGAGTGAATACCAATACTCCTCAAATTGTTCCACACAACAGAAACAGAAGGAACATTGCCCAAGTCTTTTTATGAGGCTACAGTTATGCTGACACCCAAACCACACAGAGATGCAACAAAGAAAGAGAATTACAGACCAATCTGCCTCATGAACATTGATGCAAAAATACTCAATAAAATATTGGCAAACTGAATCCAAGAACACATGAAAAAAATCATCCACCATGATCAAGTAGGCTTCATCTCAGAGATGCAAGGATGGTTCAATATATGAAAATCTGTCAATGTAATACACCATATAAACAAATTGAAAGAAAAAAAACCCACATGATCATCTCATTAGATACTAAAAAAGCCTTTGACAAAATCCAACACCCCTTCATGATAAAGGTCTCAGAGAGATCAGGGATACAAGGAACATACCTAAACATAATAAAGGCAGTTTACAGCAAGCCAACAGCCAACATCAATTTAAATGGAGAGAAACTCAAAGCGATTCCACTAAAATCAGGAACAAGACAAGGCTGTCCACTCTCTCCATATTTATTCAATATAGTACTTGAAGTTCTAGTCAGAGCAATAAGACAACATAAGGAGATCAAGGGGATAGAAATTGGAAAGGAAGAAGTCAAACTTTCACTATTTGCAGATGATATGATAGTATACATAAGTGACCCCAAAAATTCTACCAGGGAACTCCTACAGCTGATAAACACCTTCAGTAAAGTGGCAGGATACAAGATGAACTAAAAAAAAAAATCAGTAGCCTTCCTGTATACAAATGATAAATGGGCTGAGAAAGAAATCAGAGAAATATCACCCTTTACAATAGCCACAAATAATATAAAATATCTTGGGGTAACTCTAATCAAACAAGGCAAAGACCTATATGACAAGAATCTTAAGTCTTTGAAGAAAGAAACTCAAGAAGATATCAGAAAGTGGAAAGATCTCTCATGCTCTTGAATAGGTAGGATCAGCATAGTAAAAATGGCAATCTTACCAAAAGCAATCTACAGATCCAATGCAATCCCTATCAATATCCCAACACAATTCTTCATAGACCTTGAAAGAACAATACTCAACTTCATATGGAAAAACAAAAAACCCAGGATAGCTAAAAAAAAATCCTGTACAATAAAGGAACCTCTGGAGGCATCACCATCTCTGACTTCAAGCTCTACTGTAGAGCTATAGTAATAAAAACAGCTTGGTATGAGCATCAAAACAGATACGTGGATCAATGGAATTGAATTGAAGACACCAACATTAATCCACACACCTATGAACATCTGATTTTTGACAAAGAAGCCAAAATTGTACTACTGAAAAAGAAAGCATCTTCAGCAAATGGTGCTGGCATAACTGGGTGTTGATATGTAGAAGAATGCAAATAGATCCACATCTATTGCCATCCACAAAACTCAAGTCCAAGTGGATCAAAGACCTCAACATAAATCCAGTTACACTCAACCTGACAGAAGAGAAAGTGGGAAGTAGCCTTAAACACGTTGGCACAGGAGACCACTTTCTAAATATAACACCAGTAGCACAGACACTGAGAACAACAATTAATACATGGGACCTCCTGAAACTGAGAAGCTTCTGTAAGGTAAAGGACATGGTAAATAAGACAAAAAGGCAGCCTACAGAATGGGAAAAGATCTTCACCAATCCCATATCTGACAGATCTCCAAATATATAAAGAACAAGAAACTAGACATCAAAACACCAAATAATCCAACTAAAAATGGAGTACAGATCTAAACAGAATTCTCAACGGAAGTATTTCAAATGGCCAAAAGTTATTTAAAGAACTGCTCAACATCCTTAGTCATCAGGGAAATGCAAATCAAAATGACTCTGAGATACCATCTTACACCTGTCAGAATGGCTAAGATAAAAAACACTGATGACAGCTTATGTTGGAGAGGATGTGTAATAAGGGAAACACTCCTCCACTGTTGGTGGGAGTGCAAACTTGTTCAGCCACTTTGGAAATCAGTATGGCGGTTTCTCAGAAAATTGGGAATCAATCTTCCTCAAGATCCAGCTATACCAATCTTGGGCATATACCCAAGGAATGCTCAATCATACCACAAGGACACATGCTTAACTTTGTTCATAGCAGTATTATTCATAATAGCCAGAACCTGGAAACAACCTAGATGCCCGTCAACTGAAGAATGGATTAAGAAAATGTACATATACACAATGGAGTACTACTCAGCAGAGAAAAACAATGACATCATGAAATTTGCAGGAAAATGGGTGGAACTAGAAAATATCATCCTGAGTGAGGTAACCCAGACTCAGAAGGACAAACATGGTATAAGATAATAAGAGGATACTAGATATAAAGCAAAGGACAATCAGACTGCAACCCACAGATTCAGGGAGGCTACCTAGCAGGGGGGACCCTAGGATGACTGTGGCTTATAATAAGTTATGGTTTTGCTCAATCACTGGGCATGCTGTAGTGGAACATTTCACTATTAGGATAAGAATTTATACTGTATCAAGTTAATGAAAGAATATGCTGGCTGTACTTTCAGGAGGGGAGGCTAAAATCTTTTTATATGATGGATTAGCCTATAGAAAAATGTCTCCCCCAGACCCTTATTATAAGCATGTCAATCTATAAAACCTATCTTTATGGAAGGTGTCACATGTAGGCAATCTATAGAACCAAAGAGTTTCAATGTAGTCATGTCTTAAGCTTTATTGTGCATAATGAGTTAATTATCACCATGAAATTTTTCACCAAATTGTGCTGTGCTTAAATATTCCTAAAATAAACTACTCAGGGTCAGACTTCCAAAGTTTGAACCAACACTGGCTACTAAGTCTTGTTGCACCAAACTACCTTCTTGCCTCCTGTGGGTCATTACTCTGCTGGACAAGGTAGTCACAGGGACAGACCCCCACAATCATAGTGTTTTATCACAGCAACAGAAAAGTAACTAAAACAATGTGTGTCTGTGCACCGTGAGTGCAGGTGCTCATGGAGGCCAGAAGAGGGCGTCAAGTCTCCTGGAGTTGCAGTTACAGATAGTTGCGAGCTGCCTGACCTGATGCTTGGAACTGAACTTGCAAATGCAATAAACACTCTTAACTGCTGAGCCCTCTCTCCAGCCTTGAGATAAGGAGTTTGTAAAAGAGGCAAATAGGAACCTTGGAAACAAAAACTCAAGACATAAAATCTTAGGAGGCTGAGGCAGAGGGGTTACTCTGAGTTCCAGGCCAGTCTATGCTGCACATACAAACCACGCCTCAAAAAAATAAAATACCACCAGCTTATCACCTCACAATGGACTAGGTCAAGTAGAAGGAATATCAGAGTATGAAGACAAGTCTGAAGTAATATCACATGCAGACAAAGAAAAATAAGAATGAGCCAGGTATGCTGATCCACACCTTTTATCCCAGTACTCAGGAGGCAGAGGCATGTAGATCTCTATGAGTTCAGCCTGGTCTACATAGTGAGTTCCAGGACAGCCAATAATTCATAGTGGGGTCCTGTCTCACCTCTCCCAAGCAAACAAACAAAAACCCAAAACTGGATACTGAATAGAACACAGACCCCCGGGGCACTATTACAAAGATCAGACTCCAGTGAGAGTCCAGTTCTCCTCACTTAGAATGGTTATCCACAAAACAAAGCACAGCTGAGCAGAGCACTCCAGGCCAGCGAAGATGGAAGGCAAACGTAATTCTATCCACTGTTGGTGGAACTGGAAAGTTGGGAAGCAACTATGCAAACCAGTATGGAGGTACCTCAGAAAATATAAAACAAAATTAATGAATCCTGACACACTGAAGGAAAGGAAGTCATCACGCCAGGAGATTCCCACAGGCCCATGTTTATTGCAACACCAGTCACAATTTGTTAAGCTGTGAAATCAGCCAGATGCATAAATAAAGAAAATCTTGGGTAGGCGGTGGTGGCACACACCTTTAATCCCAGCACTTAGGAGGCAGAGGCAGATCTTTGTGAGTTCGAGGCCAGCCTGGTCTACAGAGTGAGTTCCAGAAGAGCAGAGAAACCCTGTCTGGTAGGATGGAGTACTAGGCAGATGGATGAAAGAAAGGTAGCTGAAGGATGGAAGCATGAATGGATGTATGAACAGAAGGCTGGAGGTGTGACGGTGGCTAGATGAAGTGCCATACTGTCTGGACGGCTGACTGACGTTAGGAAAGTAGGAAGGAGCAAGTTGGAAGATTGTTTGATTGACATTTTCTTGCTGTGCTAAGGCTGGTCTCTGCCCCTTGGGCTTTGTGTGTGCACTATCACTCTGGCCCGCTGGAATGAAGGGATTGAGTGGCTGGGTGAAGAGGAGAAAGCTTCTCCCAGAACTGTGAACACTGGACTCTCCAGGCATTGATTAAAAACAGTTTATTACGGAATCACAGAAATGCCCATGGATGGAGGGCCCTAGGGAGTGGTCACTGCGGCCACCAGCATCCAGTCACCTCCATTCACAACTGTGGAGGGATGAGGAAGTTTCACATTATGGGAGATGACTCAGGTTCTCCAACACTGAGAGGGCTGCTTCGCATGTCTTTTAGGGGTATATGAGTTCAAACAGAAAGCCTCGACATACTACTTCACATTCTATTTCAAGCTGCAAGTCGGAAGCTCTGTAAAATAATAAACATGGTTGCAAGGAACTTTAGGGTGTTAAGGCCCTCCGTGCTGCCACACTTCTGGGAGGCACTGGAGGGACACTAACAATGAGGGACAACAGCCTTGAGGGCTTGCAGTGTGGAGGCAAGGGGTCTGAGACAAGGCAGCGCAAAGTCAGTCACTGCTGATGGGGGAGGCAGGGCTGGGCAGGAAGGTGGCATGAGGTGAGTCATGAGGCGAATGGGACTGGCATTCCATTTCAGCATGCCATTGGGCATGTGGCACTGGTAACCACAGCACTCTGGGAGTAGGACAAGAGGATCAGGGGCTCAAGGTCAGCCTCAGCTACATAGAGTTTGAACTTCATGAAACCCTGTCTGAAACAAACAGTAAAAGTGGGGCAGGTACACATCATCACACCTGGGTGCCCTCAGAACGTTCTGGCCACCACAGATCACCCAGCTGAGTTCCAGCTGTCTGGTTTCCTCTTGAACTGATTTAAGGAGCCCATGGGGGTCTACGAGGAGCTCGGCCTGGGGCAACCAGTCCCTCACAAGCCTGGTTGGGGGTAAGGGGTTAAGACAACAACCTCCTCACCTGGATTCCACCTAAGGCACCATCCTGAGGTCCAGGGGGTCATAGGGTGACACCCGCAGATCCTTCAGCAGGGCTTCTAGACTGTTCCTCAGCATGGCATAAGGCGGCTTCTCCTCGTAATTGAGGGCCATCACCACCTTCAGGTACTCCTGCAGGGTCTCTGTGGTTAAGACACCCAAAAGCACAGGAGGGCTGAGAGGTGGCATCCACAGTCCCCTGTGCTCAGTGCCACTTCAAAGTCCCCATGTCTGCTGTCCATGTATGGGAAGCATCAGTGGATGGCAAACACCAGAGTGCTCACCGGTCAGTGTCAGCAGCTGTCACTTGGGACCAATCACCCACCCCCATCCACTTCCCATTCCATACTACTTCACAACAGATTTCTGTGAGGAAAACCTATGTGCCCCTCTAACATGACGCCTGCAGCTTCTAGCTGAGGCAGGATGGGAATGTGAGCAGAGTGCACAAAAGGAGCCACAGAGCAGAGAGAAGCAGATGAGCATCACTGTGACCAGCATGAGCTGCACACAAGCCACGAGTTTTCTTTGAAAAAGGTTTCAACCATTAGAAAAAGAAAAACAATGTTTAGTTCACGGCAGCATAAAAAGAGGTGTGCCACACTGCAGGGAACCGTGGGGTTGGCCTGGCCTAGCTGCCTTGAGAGGCATGCATCCTAGATTGTTCGGGTTAGAGCTCATGGCTCCTGGGGCACTGCATGCTTTTCAGTTCCTGAGAACAGAGGCACTCCCTCAGGCAGTGAAGCATTCAGGCTGCTTTGTGTTTCTCTGTATGTTCCCTTAGTAGTGGAGGAGGCATGGAAGCTCGGCAGGACAACTGGTCTCAGACATTAACCTTGTGTACTCCGTAGAGCTTGCAACATCATCATATCCTGGCAACTGCAATGTGTTGATCCTGGCAATTGCCACTATATTCTGTTTCTGGTAAGGGTATACAAAGTCTGATTGCTCTCAATAAAACTGTCACAGCCTCAGTCTTGCTGTGGCCCTCCAACTCAAGCCTGGTGTAATTTCTTGCCAGCCATATCAGGTAACCTTGGCCTGTAAGTAAGTGTAGAGGCTTACATCACACAGCTTAGAAGAAAAGGGCTCTTTTTTAATTAAAAAAAAAAAAAGCCTATAGAGCTTTACTCTGTAGCCCAGGCTGGCCTGGAACTTACTATGTACCAGTATGTAGCAGAGGCTGGTCCTGCCAATCCTACTGCCTTGATCTCTTGAAAGCTGGGGAAACAGGATGATACCATGATGGTACCATTTTTTTTTTTTTTTTCGAGACAGGGTTTCTCTGTGTAGCTTTGCGCCTTTCCTGGAACTCACTTGGTAACCCAGGCTGGCCTCGAACTCACAGAGATCCGCCTGGCTCTGCCTCCTGAGTGCTGGGATTAAAGGCGTGCGCCACCACCGCCCGGCTGATGGTACCATTTTTATTACCACTGGTTTTTTTTTGTTTTTTTTTTTGAGACGGAGTCTCTATGTAGCCCTTGCTGACCTAGAACTCACTATATAGACCGGGTTGGCTTAGAACTCACAGAGATCCACTAGTCTCTGCCATCCAAGTGCTGGAATCAAAGGTGTGCATCAACCACACCTAGCATGATAATGATGACGTGTGTGTGTGTGTGTGTGTGTGTGTGTGTGTGTGTGTGTGTGTGTGGTGGGGGATACCCTCAGAGAGCAGGAAGAGGGTCTTGGCTCCTCTGCAGTTGGAGTCACAGACAGTTGTGAGCTATACAATGTAGGCCGAGGAAGTGGACTCCAGTCTCTGCAGAGCAGCAGGCATTGTCCAGCCATCTCTCCAGTCCAGCGGTACTTTCCCCTAACATTTACTTATCGTGTACGTGGAGGTCAGAGGACAACTTGGGGAAATGAGTTCTTTTATCCTACCACACAGCTCCCAGGGCTTGAACCCATCATCAGACCTGGCAGCAAGTGCTTTTACCCTGCGTCAGGTCAACACCCCCAGGGGGATATTTTTTATTTTCTAGTGCGTATGCTATTCTCTATGTGCAGGTCTGTGTGTGTCGAATGCAGACGTCAACAGCAGCTGCCTCCTCTCAGGTGTCATTCTCCACCCTGTTTTCTGAGCAGGGCCTCTCACTAACCTGGAGCTCACTGATCCAGCTAGAATAGCTGGCCATCAGGGCCCAACGATCCACCGGTCTCTGCTGTGTCCAGCAGTGGGATTGTAAGTGCTGTGCAGGCTTTTCACATGTATGCTGAGATCCAAACTCACAATACGCTGGAAACTAGATGCAGTAAGCGAGGCTGGTATGCACAGCACTCCTGCCCCCACAACAGACATTCATCTCTCCTCCCTCAGCATTGAATGTTACTTCCCACCTCCTGGGCGGCCTTAGACTATTCTGGGCTTATGAGGAGTCTACCCCACAGCGCCACTGCACAGCAGAGCTGAAGCTGTCTGACTGGAGCCTTACACCTCCCAGTGACTGACAGATGGGAAAAGCTACAGGGAACAGCCACAGAGGTTGCGCTACAGTGAAGACCAGCAGATGAACCACATACCACCCAACCCAAGCCTCTAGATCTAAAACAAAATCTGGGGCTGGAGAAATGAATCAGAAGTACATCAGGCTTGGATTAAATTTCTAGTGCCCACATATTGGGTCACAAACATCTGTAACTCCAATTCTAGGGGACCTAACACCTCTTCTGCCCTCTATGGGCACTGCACATCCTGGTGTACAGATATATATGCAGGCAACAAAGTCATACCTATGAAATAAAAATAGACTTTCAAAAAGAGCATCTGGCCGGGTGGTGGTGGCCTATACCCTTAATCCCAGCACTCGGGAGGCAGAGACAAGTGGATCTCTGTGAGTTTGAGGCCAGCCTGGTCTACAGAGTGAGTTCCAGGACAGCCAGGGCTACACAGAGAAACCCTCAAAAAACCAAAAATAAATAAACACCTAAATCAACAAAGCATCTGTCTCAGGCCACCGCTGAGGTGACAGCCACCGATGCACATGCTCGCCGTGCTGGCACTGACAAAGGCTACTCTGTAAAGCAGGGCTGTGGGGGGCGGGCAGGACGCTCCCTCTTTCTTTATACCACACAACTCTCTTTGCTTGAAACGTTAAGTTTCGGAGGTAGGACACTGGGACCTCACCCTTGCTTTTCAAGCACCCCACTATTTGGTACACACAGTCCTCATTGTGCCTTATAAAAACGTTTAAAGATTATTTATGATTTATGTGTGTTTATGTGCACCCTGTGTGTGCATTGCCCACGAAGCCAGAAGAGGGCACGGATCCCCTGAACTGGAGTTACAGATGGTTGTGAGCTGCCATGTGGGTGCTGAGAACAGCACCTAGGTCCTCTGGAAGAGCAGTAAGCACTGTTTTGTTTTGTTTTGTTTTGTTTTTTGGAGACAGGGTTTCCCTGTGTAGCAGCCCTGGCTGCCCTGGAACTCGCTCTGTAGACCAGGCTGGCTTTGAACTCACTAGAACCGCCTGCCTCTGCCTCCCGAGTGCTGGGATTAAAGGCGTGCAGTAAATACTCTACCACTGAGCCATCTCTCCACCCCCTTCCTCCTCCTCCTCTTCTGACTTCTAGTGTTCATCCACTAGATTAACTTCATGACTACAAAACCACCACCTCAGCTTTTTAAATATTTATGTGTGCATGCACGTAAGCATGTTCATGTAAATGCAGGTGCATGTGTGGCTCACCATGCATGTAGAGGTCAGACAACCTTGAGTGTTGGTCCTCACCCCCACCCTGTGTGAAGCAGTCCCTCTTGGGGTGCTGCTGTGTGCATAGGCTAGCTGCCCATGGACTTCAGGACTTCTACTTCTGCCTTCTGTCCCAAAGTGGGAGCGCTGGGCTTAGAGAAATGTGTACTGCACCTGGCTTCATGTAGGATCAGGGGATTTGAACTCAGGCCTTCACACTTACATGGCACACTTTACCCACTGAGACATCTTCCCAGACTATAATTCAGTTTTGAAGTCAAAGACACTATGTACTTTTTAATTACAAAAAAAACCTGACCAAATCCTACAAATGGCTGGAGGCATATGCCTTTGGTCTCAGCATTTGAGGGCGGTGGATACAAGTGAGACCCTGTCTCAAACAACAAAATCCTACCAGTACTCATGTAAGAGACCTCCACAATCTACCTGTCTCAAACAAGGAAAACAAGGGACCCAATCTGGGTACTATAATTCTATTAAAAAATTACAGGGTCTGCCGGGCAGCGGTGACGCACGCCTTTACTCCCAGCAGTTAGGAGGCAGAGGCAGCAGCTCTCTGTGAGTTCGAGGCCAGCCTGGTCTACAGCGTGAATTCCAGGGCAGCCAAGGCTACACAGAGAAACCCTATCTCAAAAAACAAACAAAAGTTACAGGGCCATCAATATGGCTCAGTGGGTAAAGGCGCTTGCTACCAAGACTGACAACCTGAGTTTGATCCTCAGGAAAGAGAGCACTGAAGGTGTGTTCTTACCTCCACACTCATGCTGGCTCTCTCTCTCTCTCTCTGTCTCTCTCTGTCTCTGTCTCTCTCTCTCTCTCCTCTCTCTATCTCTCTGTCTCTGTCTCTCTGTCTCTCTGTGTCTCTCTCTGTGTCTCTCTATCTCTCTCTGTCTCTGTCTCTGTCTCTCTCTCTCTCTCTCACACACACACACACAGGCACAAACAAACAAAAGTAAAAATAAATAAATAAAATGTAAAGCAAGGTATGTGTATGCAGGCATGGTGCTTGCCTGTGATCCCAACACTTGGGAGGTAGAGGAAGGAGGACCAGGAGTTCAAGGACAGCCTGGAGTACACAGTGAGTTTGAGGCCAGTCTAGGCTGGTATAGGAGACCCTGTACCAAATTAAATAGATAAAATGTATAAAGTTCAATTAAAAGTAAAAGGAAACAAAAGGATGTGTAAAGGCTGGGGATGTGGCTGGGTGGTGAGCACTTGCCTGGCATGCACCAGCCCTGGATTCCACTCCCAGCTGCAAAACAACCCAAGAATTATGTGTGTGTTTTCACAGTTATCGTTGGGAGACATTATCCATTTTTACATGGTTTTGTTTGTTTGTTTCCTACAAGCAGTACACACAGTACACATGGAACTGGGAAAACCCAAAGAGGAAAGACACAGTAGGTAAAGAAAGGCCCCCGGCCACGAGGCCCGGCTGCCTCTCCCCATTTAGGACACACCTGAGGCCCTGCTCCTGCGGCGACAAAGTCCCACGAAGAGCTCGGGGCTGTCCAGGAACCTTCACGGGAGAAGCACATGGGAAAGGAGAGTGATGTGTTAAGATGGAGTGTCCTTGATACATACATACACACACACATACGCATGAGCACTCACAAACACATCCAAGGCCCACACTTCTCAAGCAGGGTATTCATGTTTTACCAGATTTGCTGTGAGAACTCAATTAGTGGATCCAGAACCACAGCTCTGGATGGCAGTGTTGAGTGTGGGGGAACTAAGGGTCCAGTTCCCAAAGCCTCTGCTCAGAGGAGTTTCATCCACCAGTTAATATGCAACCTTCATAGTATTATTAAAGTTTTTGTTTTTTGAGGCATAATGTCATGTGGCCCAGGCTGGCCTTTAATTCACTCTGTAGTTAAGAATGACCTTGAACTCCTGATCCTCCTGCCTCTACCTCCTCAATGTTGGGGTTACAGGTGTGCACTACACCTGGCTCATGGGGTGCTAGGCAGACACTGTACTGACTGAGCTACCTCCAGGCCTAGGAATCTGCATGTTTGGTGACTGTGTGTGAGCTCACAAGTGAACACCCACAAGACTGGATTAGTTATTACAGATACCTTCAGTAGGAATTCACAATATGACATGTTCTAATGTGTGAGGATAGCATACACACACACACACACACACACACACCCCACTTAGGAAAGACAGACAGTGCTTCTGGACCCTCCCCAAGTCCCCTGCCCCACCGCTTCTCTAGTCTAGACGGCCAGGCTGGCTTCCCCTTCTTCTCTCTCCTGCTCCCAGCCAAGCTTTCTCAAGCCCATCCTCCTGCTTCTCAGTTCCTATCATGCTCCTGTCCTGGCTATGGGCCCACTTCAGGCCTCCTGCTCTGTGACTCTGTAAGGGCCCTACGGTCTCTCTCTGACCAGGTCCAGCTCTACCCCTCCAAGCTCACAGCCTGCCTGGGGCTTCCTAGTGCAGAGTTAAAATTCAGGAACACAAATCCCCACCAGCAGCTCCTGTGGCCTGGTCTCCATCATATCCTTCACGGTCCCACGCTCCTAGACCCACAGGAGGACCCACTGCCACTCACTGCTTTCTGCAACCTGGGAAGAGGGTGTCTCTGTTCCCTCATTGCTCCAGGCCACCACCCTCACCTGCTCTGGCTGCTTCTTGCTCCATGACCTCTGTGTCCACACTCAAGCCAAGGCTGGCCCACAGTATTTCTTACAGTTTATGGCACCACTTTATTATTATTGTTGCCAGGAGATGTGGGAACAGAATGTGGACATAAGGAAACTAGATGCACGTTGGAGGGTCGAGGCTCTCCACCTGAGACATAAGCCAGCATAACTGACTAAGCTGCAGTGTTGGTGGGCTCCCACCAACATCGAACTGTCCTTGTTGGCCAAGTGCACAGCAGAGTGCCTCGTTTCAATGCCATTTTTGCTGTGCTTGGTGTCACATAGTCCCCAGTCCCAAACAGGTTTCCTGCCGCTATCCTAGGTGCTGAACGGCAGTCCTAGCTCATGAACTTGCAGTTTTTCTTGGTGCTGAACCCCCAGTATACTGCTTCCCTCTGTCTTTCTTACCAACTGCTTCAAGAACAATTGCTAGGACCTGAAGACTCACACTCTGAGACCAAGGCATTAATCCTGGGGGTATGGAGGCAGGGTGGCTAGGGGTGCATGCCCTGTGAATGCAGCCTGTGAATGAGTTGTGGTGTCTTGCATGCAATGAAGCCCTGGCCACTCACCTCCTAATGCTCACAGCTTGTGACTCGTGCTAATTATGTAGCAGTTCATGGTGAGCGAACAGCAGGGCTCAAGAAGTAAAGGTACTCTCCCAGCGTTCAGAGCAGTGCAGCCAGAAGCCAACCCTGGGCGGCCCGGCATAGCCCACACACACTCTCTTCTGCTGGAACATACCACAGAGAATTCACTTGAGGCTGCAGAGGGCCGTGGCTCTGTGGGTGGCCACCTTTGCATCCCTCCCACTCCCTGCTGGGATCTGAGTTCTTCCCCTACCTGAAGAAGTGCCTGGGCTAGTACTGGGTGCTGCAGACGCTTACACTTACTTCTGCTTCTGCCTAGTGATCTCCTCAGTGTTGGGAAGGCAGTTTGTCCATGGCAGGGACCCATAAAGCCACTTGAGCATACAGTAGCCCAAGGTCTGGAGGTCGCTGCGGCGGGAGGGCCCTGGGGAGAAAGGGGAGAGGTGGGGGCTCAGTCTGGATGCTCCACCATCCAGCCCTGGAAGACTGTCTTAGCCATCACTGCTCAGCCCCCAGCCCCCCTTATTTTCCCCATTACTCTCACACACTCTGTTGCCTGTCACCTACATCAGTACCCCAATTCCTCCATCTAGTCATCTTTTGTTAATACACTTATCCAGTGAGCTCTGGGGGCCTGTGCACCAGGCCTGGCCTCTCATCTCCCAAACGGACAGGAGTGCATTTCCCAGACAGTTAAGTGGGAAAAGACGCAGCATGGAGCTACCTCATCCTAGCGGAGACAGGACAGGGCAGAGAAGCCAACAGTGTGGGGCCAACACTTTCCGTTTACCTCCTAACTCACTGTTCAGGTAGCTGTGTGCTAAGTTAAGTGCTAGCAGCCTCACCGCCTGCCCCTGGTGCAGTACAGGCACCACGCTGTTCAGGGACCACAGTCTGATGAACGCACAGACACAGGCAGATGGATGATACTGAGATTCAAGAAAGAGGGGCTGGAGAATCTGCCTAGGGCTGTCACCCCTCCTGCACACTTCCCGTGGATAACAGGATCCTCTTCTTGTTCAATGTTTAACTCTCATGACACCACAAAGATCTCATGGTCCAGTAATGGATGGCCCCATTTCTACGCCTGCATTCCTAGGTGACTCAAAGGCAGCCTCATCACCTCTGCCAGGTTGGTCTCAGTCTCTGAGCCTCTGGAAGTACGACAAAGCTGCTGTCCTCTGTCCTAAACCCCAAATCCCCACTGCTCAAAGGCCACCATCCAGTTCTCCTCCTTGTTGCTGAGGGTGACAAACCCTTCACATGGCCAGGACATTGTCTATACTCCCAGTCCCCATCATGGCACCCTTACAACCCTCGACTAAGAACCCATAAGGCTGCCCCGGACGAGAACCGAGTGTCAGGTGCTGGGCCTCTCACCGCATCCCTTGTGCGTGTCCACACTAACGAACTCCAGGTCCCCCTCATGGGGGCTCCTGCTGCCTTCTCTGTAGGCCACGTGCTTGCCACCTGGGCAGTAGCGGAAGGTGAAGCCATAGCCCACCAGGGTCACCTGTGGACAAGGAGGCACACAGACCTTGGTGTCAGACTCCAACGTGGGCACAGAGCCTGTGCCAGCAGCTGCCCGTCTAATCCCCGACAGCTGTAAAGGGAGGACGTGGGGCTGCCTACTGGTTGCAGAAGGTCAGGCATAAACGCAGCTGCATCCTGCTTTGGGCCTCAGGTGAGACTGACCATCACGGTGGACCAGGGGTGTAGTGGGGACCGCTCACCTCAGTGGCTGGGGAGCAGAGAGAGCAATGGAGGGGAAACAGGGACAATGCAGGATACATCCTTGAAAGGCATGCTCCTGGAGCCCCACTCCTGATCTCCATCACCTTGCAAAGACACCCCCAAATGATGGCTCCATCAATAAAGAAGTCTCATGTGGTGGCAGCGTCCTTTGATCCAGGCACACACAAACCTCAACTCTAAGGACTGAACTTAACACCTAAGCTGCTTTGTTCTCTTGACTTTGCCTGGCCTCCCAGCACTCCACCTGCCTCAGCTTTGAAAGTACTACCAGCACATGAGCCTTTGGAAAGATGCTTCATATTCAAATTGTAACACTGACTGTTTTTGGAGATAGGGCTCATATACGCCAGGCTGACCTGGAACTCCATATGCATTTGAGGATGACTGAACTTTTTGTTGTTGTTGCTGTTGTTTGAGATAGGGTCTATACATAGCCCTGGCTGTACTGGAACTCACTATGTAGACTAGGCTGTCCTTGAACTCATAGAGATAACCTGTCTCTGCCTTCTGAGTGTTGGGATTAAAGGCATACACCACCACATCTGGCTTAGGGTGACTGAACTCCTGACCCTCCTGTATCTACTCCCTGAATGCTAGGATGACAGGTGTGTGCCAACATGCCCAGTTTATGTGGCTCAGAGACGGAATCCAGGGTTTTATGTATTCTGGGCAAGCACTGCACCAATGGAGCCACATCCCAGCACCACAAAAAAGGGTGTTTGTGCGTGTGCGTGTGCATTCATGCATGTATGTGTGTTGGAGGGGTCTGGCTCTCACCTGGCTTAGATCCTCTGGATTCACAAAGACATTCTCAGCTGTCAGGTTCCCGTGAACATACTCATTTTCATGGAGGAACTGTAGAGCATCCAGCTGGAGGAAGAAGGCGTTGAGGTAGTATGACTGACAGGGCCATGACAATGGGAAAGGAGCAAAACTGTCAACCTAGGGGTCACTGCAGGGGTATCCTGTCAACCCGGGGGTCACTGCAGGGCTATCCTGTCAACCCGGGGGTCACTGCAGGGCTATCCTGTCAACCCGGGGGTCACTGCAGGGCTATCCTGTCAACCCGGGGGTCACTGCAGGGCTATCCTGTCAACCTAGCGGTCACTGAAGGGCTATCCTGCTAACCTAGAGGGCACTGCAGGGCTATCTTGTCAACCTAGGGGGCACTGCAGGGCTATCCTGCCAACCTAGGGGTCACTGCAGGGCTATCCTGTCAACCTAGGGGTCACTGAAGGTCTATCCTGCTAACCTAGGGGGCACTGCAGGGCTATCCTGTCAACCTAGGGGGCACTGCAGGGGGTATCCTGCCACATTCTAGTGTAGCATGAGGAAGTTCACTGTAGTAGCATCCTGATCCTGGCTCAAGTTAGACTTCCTGAAGAATTCAGCAATTACCAGGCATGTGGTGCCTGCCTTCCACCCGCCTCCGGTGCAGACTTAGCGCCCTCTGTAGGGGTACCTAGCGCCCTCCGACTGTTGAGCCCCTCACTGAGGTTCTAGCAGTAGCTCTGCTGCTGAGCTACATTCCCTCCCAGCAACTTCCGCTGCATCTCCAGCTCCAACTTTACACTGAGCTCTGGACTGTCATGAGGCTCCATCCGGGTGTCAGTCACACCCTGCGTCTATCTCCAGACCCCTCCTTGACCCTGGGGCCACTTGTTCTTCTAGTATCTCTCCTTCCCCGGCCAGGACGCTCTGCCAGCCACACCCTCTCCACCTGAGCCTTCATCTTGCCTCTGGTTTCCTTGTTCCAGCTCTACCTGGCACGGCCCGAGGGTCTTTCTGTCTCACCTGCCCAGCATTCCTATGGCTCCCAGCATGCCCTGCTCCTTACCTGGTTTTGCGACTCTGCGTGATGGCCTCTGCACACACTGACCCCAGCCCCACTCCACTCCAGACTGTGCTAGGACTGGGCCTCACCTACCAAGCACATCACCCCCTTGGTGCTCACATCGGCAGCTATATGATGATCAAGCTGCTCATTCTTCATTAAGCAGGGTCATTTCTTTTTGTTGTTGTTTTGAGACAGGATTTCACTGTGTTGCACTGGCTGTCCTGGAACTCACTCTGTAAACCAGCCTGGCCTCCAACTCAGAGATCCACCTGCCTCTACCTTCCGAGTGCTGGGATTAAAGGTGTGCACCACCAGGGCTACTGGCAAGCAGAGGTCATTTCTAAAAGCCAACTGTTTACCAGAGCCCTGTCCATGTAACTGTGAGAATGAAGACATGAAGACAGGATGGGCTACTCTCTACTCCATCTCAGCCAGAGAACGCTGGGTACTTGGTGACCATTTAGTACAAGCATGAATGAGTGAATGAATGAATGTAAGAATGAGTAACGTCTCTGTACAAGCTGTGGTGGTCTGAATGAGATGTCCTCAATGGTCTCGGGTATTTGAATTCTTGGTCCCTAGTTGGTGGAACTGTTTGAAAAGAATTAGATGTTAGATGTGGCCTTGTTGGAGAAGGTGTTACTGGGGTTGGGCTCGAAGTTTCAAAAGCCTCCTACCATTCCCAGTGCATGCTCTACCTCTGTTTCGGGGTTCTAAGGTGTGAGTGCTCAGCTGCTTCTGCTGCCTTCTCACCGCTACTGCCTTGCTGCCATCATGGCCTCTAATAAACTCTTCCTTAAGTGGGCCTTGGTCACAGTGTCTTGGCAATAAAAAAGTAAGCAAGACACAAGCCTTGGCCCAAGCTGTCTCCTTGGCCTAGAAACTTCTCTTGTACATCCCACCACCATCCTTCCACCCAGCATCCTGACAGTCCCCAATCTTCCCAAGAGTCCAGGCTCAAATACACGGCCTGCACCTTTGTTCCAGGCTGTGCCTCCAGGCTGATTCCAGGGACATCATCACCTATCTGACCAGACCACTGCTGTGCTGGCCTCCCTGCATCCATGAAGATGAATCCATCTGCCTGATGGGGAAGCTGGGATTTGAAGAGGATGTGGAGTGGTCCTGAGATACATACCAGCCTGCAGGCCACCTGCAGCACACATCTCTCTGATATCACATGCTTTGGGTTGTCATCCAGGGCTGACTGAAGGCTCCTCCCCAGGCTGGGGAACACCAGGAACCTAGAAGACAGAGAATCATGGGAGCTGGAGATGTGGGATGTCAAGCCCTACAAGGCATTCCACAGGAACAGGGAAGGTGAGTTAGGACACTTATCCCCACCAGTGCTAATCTACAGCTGTGAATCCTACCTTTGGGTTCACCGTCCCCCTTTCCTGTAAGTACTCACACTGCCCTGGGGGCAGGTATGAGAACTTAGGTTCTTCACCCCTTAGTTCTCAGCCAAACTGTAAACAGATCCATTTATTTTCACCATTCCCGCACCCCAGTTCTCAGCCAGCAGGGAGCCTCTTAGGTATATTAGCCCTTACTCTTGGGTCTCTTAGCCTCACTCTTTGCGGCTTTGCTCCACCTTGCTCTTTTCCCTTCCCCTCTGCTGCCCAGATAAAAGAAAAGCACAATTACAGGCAGTGGGACTTTGCTGGAACACATGCCCAGGTCATCTGTGGCTCTGGAAGTCAAGCTGACTGAAACTCATCACTTGAAAAGCTGGACCTACCCTAGTCATGAGCCACAGCCCTATTCTGAAGGCAAAGACATCCCCATGAGAAATAAATGCCCATTCATGCAGCAGAGGGGCCACTGGGTGGGGTAGGGGGTCAGGGTAGCAAGTGAGGTGGCTCACCTGTACTTGTCCTGGTGAATGCCAAAGCCGACGCAGGTGGGGATGGCCAGGAGCGGAACCAAGAACTGTTTCTTCCACTTGTTCACTGCAGGAGGCAGAGAATCAGGGTCAGATTCACAGCCAGATGCCAGGCTCATAGGAACAAGCCCTGCTTAGGCCAGAAGCAGAGAGAGCCCAGACCAGACCCTGGGTCTCTTCATTTGTCCTCATTGGTATGACATCCTTCTGGGTGACAGTGAGAAGAGGTGAGGCCAGGGTGGGCACATCTGTGATCCATGTCTGCCAGTAATTTCTAAGCAAGCATGCAAAAGGCGGGCATGAGGGCCAGAGGTTGGAGCAACTGAGAAGGGCTTCTATGGGCTCAGTTGGTCGAGTGCTTGCCTAGCACGCACAGCGTCCTGGGTCCCATCCCCAGCACTGCATAAAACTGAATGTGGTGGAGCACACTGGTAATGCCAGGACTCAGGAGGTGGAGGCAGGAAGATCAGGAGTTCAAGGTCATCCCTGACTACATTTCCAGTTCAGGAAACCCAGGGCTACATGAGACCCAGTCTCAAAATAATGAAAGAAAGGAAAGGAGGAGGGAGGGAGGACAGGGCCATCTCTGAGTTTACACGCAAAGCTGGCAAGATGAATAGAAGTCTAACCAGCCATAGCATCACTGAGCCCCTGGGCTAGTGCAGAAGGATCGGGTATGCTGAGATCTGGCCAGGTGCAGGCTGGTGGGGAGACGCAAGGGGCTGGCAGTTCAGCTACTTACTACTATGGGGTAAACACTTCCCAGCAGGCTGTTTCAAGGGGGCAGCACAACAGGAGTGAAGGCGGCTGGAGAGGGGCAGAGCATGTGCGTGTGGTTTCTTCACAACATGACAGGTTCATAGAACCCAGAGAGTACAGCTAACAGAACCCAGAAAAAAATACTCGGACACCAGGCATCATGAGTATGTTTGTTCTGAATGTAACCAATTTGATTTAAAAATTTCCCTAACAACTTGTGATGTGACAGCCAGCACACAGCGTTCATGGGTCACCACTGGTCCCTCCGGAGCTGCTACAGGCGAGCCCCGCCTGTCTTCCGAGGCCAGAGGGCTAAAGGAGATGGGAGTCAGGTTGTGGGTGCAAGTGGATGCAGACCCAGGTCTCTGGTCACCACATCATTGAATACCTTGAGGACCTGTCACCCAACCCAACTCTCCTGCCCTGTCCCCGTGAAGTACCTTGTGGGCCGCAGCACCTGACTCAACTTTCCTGCCCAATCCCTATGGAATACCTTGTGCAGGCTTGGCTGCCCTCTGAAAGAAGTTCTGCTCATTGAAAAGGCGCCCATCCTTGGAGTCCTGGGGGTGAGAGAGGGGCAGTGGCTGTTATACCAAACTCCCCTGGGCAAGGGCCCCAAATTCCCAGCGAGACCCCAGTGCCACACCAACCAACTCCGTTTCTTCCTGTCCCTGTAGCAGGACAGTCCCGGAGAATCGTGACTGAGCAGGCTGGGGTTCTCAGTACCCACCTCCCTGCTGTGTGATACTGTGTTTGTGTTCTGACAAATAAAGCTTGCCTGGAGATTGGAGGGTTAGCCATAGAGGACAGGCAGTGGTAGCACACACCTTTAATCCCAGCACTAGGGAGGAAGTAGAAGATCAGGAGTTCAAGGCTACCCTGAGCTACATGAGATTGAATCAGTCTAAAAAAGAAACAAGAGTGGGCAGTGGTGGTGCATGCCTTTGACCCGAGTACATGGGTGGCTCACACCTTTAATCCCAGCACTTGGAAGGATCACGCCTTTGATCCCAGCACTAGGGAGGTGGAGACAGGAATATAAGCCGGGTAGAGACAGGATCTCACCCCCATTCAGTCTGAGGATTCTTAGAGACAGGATCCTTACCATTTTGGTCTGAGATTTCATAGAGGTAAGAAGTCTAGTGGCTGCTGCTCTGCTTCTCTGATCTTTCAGCTTTCACTCTGATATCTGACTCTTGGTTTCTACTGTTATGACTAATCAGGATCACACTTCACCTCCCTTTGATTATTTTATTATGGTAAGATCCACAAGTTTGCCCTAGACATGTGGCCCTTACCTAAAAACTTCATTTCCTAGTCTGCTTTGCAATGAGGCACAGCTTCACGACCAAGTTCTGGCCAATGAAGGCATGACCAGAAATGCCAGGAGTTCCAGACCAACCTGGTCTAGTTACTGAGAACCAGTCTCCAAACAAAACAAAACAAACAAACAAACAAAAACAACAACAAACAAAAACCAAAAACAACAACAGCCAAAAAAAAAAAAAAAAAACCCACGGTGTATCAGGGGCTGAAGAGACGGCTCAGTGGTTAAGAGCACTGGCTGCTTTGCAGAGAACTCAGGTTTGATTCTCAGCACCCACACCAGGCAGCTCACAAACACCTGTAACTCCAGTTCTAGGGGACCTGACACCCTCTTCTGGTCTCTGTAGGCACCAGACATGCAAGTGGTACCAAAATATTCATGCAGGCAAAATACTTATACACATAAAATAAAATTTATATACTTTAAAGATTGGACACACACACACACACACACACACACACACACACACGGGACACACGTCAAGCCAAGTCTTCTAACTATATATACTCTTCTACCTTGGTTCTAAAGATCACAGCATTAAACACAGCCAGGTGTCTGTCCAATAGCCCTCTCCTTTCTCCCTTCCCCTGGTCTCCCTTCCCTTCTCTTTCTCCCCCACCTCCACAGCCCCGTATTCTTCTAGGACATAGCCTCATGTATCCAATGCTGGCCTCAAACTCTTGGTGTAGCTGAAGACTGAGTTCTTGATCCCCCTGCCTCCACACTCTAGGTGCTGGGATGACAGGCATGCCCCGCCCCTCGCTGTGCAGTGCCGCTGACAGAGCCCAGGGCTGTGTGCTGGGCAGGCACTGTACTTCCCGAGTTGCACCCCGCTGACTCCTTTCTTGCCTGCCTCTTTCCCTCTCCCCTTCTCTCTCCGTTCCTTTCTTCTCGTGTGTTACGTTTTGAATGCAGTGGCTACCTCAAAGACTTGCTGCCCGAGTCCAGTGACAGTGCCCGGGATTCACTTAGCTGGGGTCCGTCACATAGGAACTCTGAAGCGGATGGCACTAGGCCTCAGGGGGCTGGACATACTCCACCTCCACATCCTCTTGCTCATGCTCTCTCGGACTCTGCTTCTTGGCTGCTACGAGAGCTGCTCTTGGCTACATCTTTCCCCCCATGATTGCCAAGTGAGGTGCTCTGCTTGGCAACACCCTCCCCACACGATATACTCATATTACTGAAATCATGAACCAAATAAATCCTTCCTCCCTTGATGTGTTTTACACAGAAATTTTGTCACAAAAACCTGACACACACAGTGCCCGACAAACATACTCTGTGTAGGAAGCAGGAAGCAGTGAGCATGTAGGCACAAGAAGCCAACAGTACTGATCTTGGAGCTAAGTGGGGATAGGGTCACATGACCAGGAACCATCAAAGGCAGGTGCAGGGGCGAGCCTCACCTCTGCTCCCGAGTGAAGAGGAGTGTGTCTGGTCAGAGTCCCATGGCTCTTCACAGACTAGGGGCACCCTATTTTCAGGGTGGGCTCCCCAGGCTGCAAGGGAACTCAGAGGTCAAGGGTAAATTTGAAAGCCCTCCACCCTTCCTTCTGAGTTGCCCTTGGACCACTCACCAGCTTGAGTGAGAACCTATGCTTCTGAGTCCCTGATTCACAGGGGAGGGCAGAAGTGGGCTCAGCTGTAGAATGGCAAAGAGAGAGACATCAGAACTCGGGAGTGTCAGGGCCACTGATCCCCAAGCTGCTCAGAACCAGGAGCCAGTTCTCTGGATCCCATGGGGAAGTGCATCCTTGGTCCTCAACACCTGTTCCTTCATGTTTCTCTGCCTCCCTCCCTCCTGTCTTCAAAGTTCCAGGGAATGAATCTAGAGTCTTGCATTAGGCAAGTGTGACAGTTAGATTTGTCAACTTGACACACCCTAGATTAGCTGGGGGGAAAGTCTCAATGAGGGATTGTCTACACTGGGTTGGCCTGTGGGAAAACTCAGTCCATCGTGGGTGGCACCATTCCCTAGGAAGGTGTCCTGAGCTATTAAGACTGGAGACATCAAGCCCAGCACAAAAACAAATACGCATTCAATTTTGGCCTTTGTTCTTTATGGTTGTGACCAGCGCCCTCAAGCTCCTGCCTTAATTTCCCTGTTATCATGAACTGGAACTGTGAACCAAATCCACCTCCTTCTCCCCTAAGTGACTTTTTGGCAGGGCTCCAACAGAATGTGAGTAGGACAGCCACCTTCTCTACACCCCAGCCCTGATGCTTCCTTCTTCCTGACCATCAACTTGACGGGCCTGAGGAGCAGCGAGGCTAGGGAGTGCAGTTCCGGGAGACTCTGCGGTGACTTCCAGACCTGATGAAGCCCTGAGGGCTCTGACCTTAACTGCGTTAGTCCTTTGAAGGATTCAAATACAATACCATCTCTGGGAGGTGGGGCCAAGCTGGAGGAAGGAGGCAACGAGGGGCATGTCCCTGAGGGTCATCCCTTGCCTTGGTCACTCCATGACACTTTCCTCTGGTTCCTGGGTGCCTGGTCTGAGCTGCTCTGCTCCATGTGCCCTCCTACCATGATGGACTAGAACTGGTCAAATCCCGAGCCCTAGCTGTGCTTTCCTCCTTGAAGTTGCTGTCCTTGGCTATTACACACCGTCTATGTGGTGCTACGTGGTCTGGCACACCCTGTACACTGGGACAGACAGAGTGTACCTTCATAGAGAATGCCTTGGTCATCCCGGGTCTGGAGGGCCCCGAGTGTCCAGTGCTGCCCTTTCTTGTCGGTCAGCCCTGTCCCCGTGGGCAAAGCCTGGAGTGAGGTGGTCACTCGGCTCCGCTTCAGTGTCTGAGGACTTAGCCTGGAGGACTGTGGGCTGCCTCTGGGGGTCGGGGGTCTGCTCCAGGTGCCTGCAGGGAGACGAACAGATAAAGCGGCGTGGAGAGAAGCAGTGCCCAATCATGGTCCTACTCCTGTGTGTGGATTCTCCCGAGCTCCCACAGGTCAGGATCTTTGTTCCACAATATTGGAGGCTCTCATGGGTCAGGTCTGGACCCCTCCCAGTGTGGTGGGGATTCTGACCTAGACAGAACCAGTCAGAATCGGACCAGAGACAAAGGAGTCAAGGTGGATATTGGGGACAGAAGAGATAAGTGGCTGGAAGAAGTCAAGGGAGGCTTCCTGGGGCAGGGTACACTACAGCAGTCTTTTTGGCTAAAAGAAATTTGCCAGGGAGAAAGGACATTACAGACATTCACCCCAAAATGGGTTTTGGCTATGTGTTGAGCTATGCAGAGGACCCAGAGTGTTAGATTCAGGATTGATCTTGAAGGACACCCAGACATCAGGCCTCTCTTGCCCAGCATTGGCTGGGAAGATAGTATGAGTCCTGTATGGTCCCTTCCAAAAAGAACATGTAGGCCAGGAAAAGAGGTACAAGGGACATGGAACCAAAAGTGATGAGTGGATAAATGAGAGCAGGTCTAGCCAGAGGTAGTACAGGCCTCAATATACACTCACCAGCTCAGAAGGGATTCTAAGAGATTAGGTCTCTAAATGGTGGGAATTGGGGAGCATGACAGGCCTGCAGGAGGTGAAGGCAAGCTGGTCTGAGGGAACAGATTAGCAGAGCTTAGAGATGGATAGACCCTCAGGTTGCTCTTCTATTTACTGGGGTATGGAGTCAGAAACACAGTATGTAGTTTAAATGGCAGGCTAGATATGGCTAGAGAAAGAACTCATAAATTGGAAGATAGAGATGAAGAAACTACTCAAAAACTGAATGTGATAGCATGTGCCCATAATCCCAGTACTTGGGAGGCTGAACCAGGAGGATAGCTGTGAGTTCCAGGCCAGCTTAGGCTATGTAGTAAGAACCTGTCTCAAAAAAACAAACAAAAGAAATTGTCTAGAAAACATACAGAATGATAAATGATAGCAGATGTAAGATAGGTGCTGGATTTGTGGAGTGGTAAGAGTCAAGGCAGAGAGCATGGACTGTGGACAATGAGTCCACTCGGCTGTGTGAAAGTTCCCTGTGGGGATGAGCAGGAAGGGGACACTGGGAAGAGGTTCCAGGCAGGGCTGACTGACTGATGTTTCAGTTGAAACAGTAGTGTTTCATTTTTATTTTTAATTATGTGTCTGTGTTGGTGTGGGGTGGGTAATTTCGCTTAAGTACCTGTGGAAGTAGAAGAGCACTGGACCTCCTGGAGATGGGGCAACAGGGTAAGTCGTCAGACACGATGCTGGGAACTGAACCTGACTGCGAGTACTCTTAACTGCTGAGCCATGTCTCCAGACCCTTGTCCCAGACATTGTCCCAGGACCCCTCTCTGCCCCATCCAGACACAGGCCAGCCCCAGCTCTCACCTGTGGCTCTCTCAGGAGAATTCAAGGTATCTTCAGACTCAGAACTGTCACAGTCAGAGAGGAGGGAGGGTGGGAGAGAGGTGACAGTGTGTGACCATTTCACTTTCTTGGGAGAGGTTTCAGAACTGGAGTTCAGCTCTCTCCTTGAGCCTAAAGGTGAACCAAATGCAGATTAGAGTTCTGAAGGCCTTCCAGGCACAGGCAATCCTGAACTCTGTGCTCAGGGTCAGCCATGCTCTCTCCTCTGACCTTCGCAGAACAGTCCTGCTGTCTCCACTGCCCACTGTCCAAGTGCTCCGTTTCCTGATCACCTTTCCTCCACCAGCCCCAGCCTCCTTTACATCTTCCATCACTTGTCATTCTGCTGCCTTCTAGGCAACTTCTTTTTTGAAAATTTTTTTTTTCCAGCTCGTCTTTTTTGAAATTTTTAATTTAATGTATTATCAGTGTGTGTGAGCGAGTGCATGTGCACACACACACACACACACACACACACAGAGGTGTGAGCATGCCATGGTGCACACACATGGAAGTCAGATGACAGCTTCTGGCAATCAGTTCTCACCTTGCACTGTCTGCTAAGGCACTGAACCCAGCTCACCAGGCTTGTGCAGCAAGCATTTCTATTCTGAGCTATCTTGCTGGCCCAGCAATTTGTTTTTGCAGCTGGGTGGTGGTGGCACACACCTTTAATCCCAGTACTTGAAAGGCAGAGGCAGGATGATCTATGTGTTTGAGGCCAGCCTGGTCTACAGAGTGAGTTCCAGGGCAGCCAGGACTACACAGAGAAACCCTATCTCAATCCTCCCCAACCCCCCAAAAAAGACAAGGTCTTGCTATATGGCCTAGATTGGTCTTAAACTCAAGAAAATTCCAATTCTCCTCAGCCTTCCAAGTGCTAGGATTACAGGTATGTACCACTGTGTCCAGCTTCTGAGTAAATTCTCCAGCTCTATCTAGTCTGCCATTTAAAGCATACACTAAGTTTCTTATTGCAATGATTGCAATTATATGTGTATATGTATTTATATGCTTTTATACGTATGTATTTAAAGTTTCCTTTTTGCAAACATATTAAACATACGTTGCAAATATTTGTGTCTTTTGATTCTTTTTGCTTTATTCTTTTAAGAGTTCTTAACCCACTAGCCATGTCTCCACCCCATTTTTGTTTTATTCTTGAGACAGGATCTCACTCAGTAGCCCAGGACTCAGACTCATGATGATTCTCCTGCCACAGCTTCCCACGTGCTTGGATTACAAGCACAGCTACCATACCTGCAGCAGCTCAATTCTAAGGGGATTCAGTGATTCCAGACACCCTTTAACTTCATCATAATCCATGCGCTTGAGTGACACACCCCAGTAACATGACAGCTGACAACTACCACGAGGATGACTAGACGCACAGAAGTCCCAGCAAGATGGCTCAGTGGGTCAAAGGACTTGCTACTGAGCCTAATGACAAGAGTTCAATCCCTGGGTCCCACATGGGAGAATTCGGACCTCTGTAAACTGTCTTCTAAACCCCACGTGTGCCCCTGAACAAGAAATATACACTAAATACTCAGTGTGCTAATATGCATCCAACATAGTCCAACTCCTGTCAGGGACAAGGATAGAATCTCTAGTTAGTGGAAAAATACAGACCCCCATAAGACAGGGAACTAGATCTTACAGTCAGGTTGCCTAGCAACAGGACATTGAGGCAGAGCCCTTGACCCTTTCACCCTGTAAACATCCTATACAAACATCCTGTTAGCTTGCCCCACCTTATGCAGATGACAGCTTCTTGCTCCCCCCACCCTGCAGGAACTATATAAACCCTCTTGGAGAAAAATAAAGTGGCACCTTGATCAGAATCTAGACTTGGTGTGTTTCCTTGTGTCTCCTGTCTCTATCATTCCGTCCTTAGGGTGGTCGAGAACCCGCTGTAGCCCTGCAGGCGGGGCAAACTCCTGCCTTGCACTGTGATCGTTTAACAGTCTGGTGAGGTACTAGGACTATGTAGACGTGGGATGGCTGCAGTTTACTGAGTCTGGCTTGTGTTCCTGTTGGTTTCAGCTCCACATCTTTCCTCTAAGAAATGGCTGACACAGCTGTCCAGTTAAACTGTTTGCTAGACAGTATTCCCATGGATACCTCTGCTTCTTCAAACATGCTTAACTGCAACAGAAACCTCCCTTTTCTGCTCATGAGACCCAGAGACCACCCTCTGACAGGTATGTAGACAGGGATTTCAACAGTATGGCCCAAACTACAGAAGCTGTAAGAAACTGCAGGATGGGGCCGGCCTTCACTGGTTCCTACCTCGAAAGGATGACACAAGACGCGGAGTGCCAGTCTGGGCTTCTGCATGCTCCTCTACAGGCAGGGCCTTGCCACAGTACGGGCAGAACTTGAATGATGCTTTGACACTTTTGCCACAGACTGGACAGAAGGAGATCATGCTGCAACAAAGAAAGAGGGACAGGAATCAGAATGACACCATCCAGAGGATGTGAGGAGCTGCCAAGGGCCTGTGCATGCATGTGGAGGCCACAGGCCAACCTCGGGTGTTGTGCCCTACGTACTACACACCTTGTGTTTTAGACAGTGCCTCTCACTGGTCTGTAGCTTGTCAAATAGACGAGTCTGTCTGGTCATTTCAATCCACGAATTACCTGCCCACCCCCCCCACCCCCATTGTCTCTGGATCGCCAGTACGAGGATTACTAGTGAGCACTATCACAAACAGATTTTTCTGTGAATCCTGAGGGTTGAACTCAGGTCTTTATATTTGCTTGGTGTCTTAGTTAGCTTTAATTATCAACTTGGCAGAGCCTAAAATCATTTGAGAGAAAAGCTTCAATTGAGGAATTGTCTAGATCAGATCTGCATGTGGGGGGATTGTCGTGGTTGATGTAGGAGGGACCAGCTCATTGCAGGCAGCACCACTGCCTATGTAGACGATCCTGGACTGTAAAAGAAAGCCAGATGAACATGAGCCAGCAAGCAGTGTCCCTCCATAGTTTCTAAGTCAAGTTCATGCTCTGACTCCCTCAATGACAGACAAGTAAGCCAAAGAAATCCTTTCTTCTATAAGTTATATGTGGTCAGAATGTTTTATCACAGCAACAGAAAGGAACCTGGGTACATGGTGGGTGAGCATTCTCCCAACTGAGCCACCTCCCCAGATCCCTGTTATTGCTGTTTCTGCACTTCCCTTTCATCTTTCCATGTTGGAATCTCAGAGCCTTTTGGGCCTGTTTCTTCTTACTGATTGATGACTTACAGAACTTGCCTTTGAAAGCTACAAGCCATCTAGACAAGTAGTTAAAGATGCCTCAGCAAAGAGGAGAAATGTAGGTGGAGTTATTTGTCAGGACCACTGGTCAGCTCTGTCCCACCATCCACTCCCAAATAACTACAAAGAGACTTATTGATTATATATTGTGGTGGTATTGTGTTCCCCAAAATATTGTGTACCTTAATAAACTTATCTGGGGTCAGAGAACAGAAAAGCCACAAGATACTTAGGCTAGAAACTGTCAGCACACTCCTTTAATCCTAGCATTCCAGAGACAGAAATCCCTCTGGATCTCTGTGAGTTCAAGGCTGCATTGGAAACAGCCAGGCATGGTGACACACACCTTTAATCCCAGAAAGCAGCCTTTAATCCCAGGGAGTGGTGGTAGGAAGCAGAAAGGTTTATAAGGTGTGAGGACCAGAAACTGGAAGCATTTGGCTAGTTAAGCTTTCAGGCTTTGGAGCAACACAGTTCAGCTGAGATTCATTCTGGATAAGGACTCAGAGGCATCCAGTCTGAGGAAACAGGACCAGCTGAGGAACTGGCAAAGTGAGATAGCTGTGGCTTGTTCTGTCTCTCTGACCATCCAGCATTTCACCCCAATAACTGGCCCCAGGTTTGATTTTATTAATAAGACTCTCTAAGATTCATGCTACAATAAATCCTTGGCCGATAGCTCAGGCTTGTTACTAACTAGCTCTTACATTTTAAGTTAACCCATATGTTTATCTATGTTCTACCACATGGCCCAGTACCTTATTTCAGTACGGTATGTTTACCATCGCCTGCTTCCTCTGTGTCTGCTGGTGACTCCCAGCGTCCTCGCAGTTTGGCTCTCCCACCAAACCTCTTCTTGCCTATCTATTGGCCAGTCAGCTCTTTTATTAAACTAATCAGAAGGTGCCTTGGCAAAGACACATCTTCATAGTGTGCAAAAGGATTATTTCACAGCAGATAGAGCAGTTCCTTTCTCCATGGCTGTGGCAGAGCAAAAGACTCTTTTATTTCAATCGTGGAGCTGTGTAACGTGCTGGGCTGCAAAGATTGTTCTCAGGTCCTGCTATATTCCCAGAGGTTAGCAGGCCCAGCTGGCAGTGCTGGTGAAACATTCCATCAGACATTTATTGTGTTCTTTTCTGATTATTCTGGCTCACAAGGGCTGACAAGACGGCTTAGTTCAGTGGTTCTCAACCTTCTTAATACTATGACCCTTTAATACAGTTCCTCATGTATGGTGACCCCCCCCACCATAAAATTATTTTCATTGCTATTTCATAACTGTAATTTTTGCTACTGTTGTAGAATAATCTTTTTGTACAGTGTGAAGATGTGTCACTCTGATTGGTTTAATAAAAAGCTAAATGGCCAATAGCTAGGCAGGATTTTCTGGGGCAGAGAGAACGCTGGGAAGAAGAAGAGAGGAGATGCCAGGACACAGAGCAAGCAGCATGGGCATTACAAAGTAAAGGTAACTGAGCCACATAAAAGAACATAGATTGCTGGGGATGTCTTTCTGTATGCTGTGAATGTGCTGCTCTGATTGATTGATAAATAAAACGCTGATTGGTCAGTAGCCAGGCAGGAAGTATAGTATAGGCGGGATAAGCAGAGAGAAGAATTCTGGGAAGTGGAAGGCTGAGTCAGGAGACACTGCCAGCTACCGTCATGAGAAGCAAGATGTGAAGGCAGAACTGGGAAAAGGTACCAAGCCATGTGGCTAAACATAAAGTAAGAATTATGGGTTTATTTAAGATGTATGAACTAGACAGCAGGAAGCCTGCCATGCCATACAGTTTATAAGTAATATAAGCCTCTGTGTGTTTACTTGGGTCTGAGAGGCTACGGGCCTGGGCAGGACTGAAGAAAACTCCAGCTACAGTAGATTGAAAGATATGGATTAATTTAAGTTTTAAGAGCTACTTAGCAACAAGCCTAAGTTATAGCCAAGCTTCCATAATTAATAATGAGACTTGCTACATGCTACTGCTATGAATCCTAATGTAAATATCCAGTATACAGGATATCTGATATGTAACTGCTCTGAAAGGGTTGTTTGATCCCCCCAAAGGGGAAATGACCCACAGGTTGAGAATCTCTGGCACAGTACGTTAAGGCAGTTGCTGCCAGGCTAACAATCTGAGTTTTATCCAAGTCCCACACAATGAAGGGAGACTCATTCAAGTTGTTCTCTGTCCTCTACAAGCACCCCATGTCACCCACACCCACAGACTTATATGTTGTTAGCTTTCTACTGCTGTGATAAACACCCTGACCAGAACCAATCTGGGAGGAATGGATTTACTTAATCTTATAATTTATAGTCCATCATAGAGGGAAGTCAGGGCAGAAACTCAAGCAGGAATTCAAAAGCAGGAACTGAAGCAGAGGACATGGAGCAGTGCTGCTTACTGGCTGGCTCCCCATGACTTGCTTAGCCTGCTTTCTTAAACAAACCTGGACCACCTGCCCATGGTTGGCACCTACCCACAATGGGCTGGGCCTTCCCACATCAATATTTAATCAAGAAAGTTAGGTAGCAAATTCAGACAAATGGCTAACTGAGGTACCTACTTCACATATCAAAGCGGATGCTGGCTGCCGGGTTCTCCGAGCATCTCTCAGTACCTATTACAGAGTCATGCTGGCTGGCATACACCACCCCCACCTTGGATGCCTCCAGCCTGCGCTTCACGGGTCTTCCCCAGCTGCTCTTTGGCTACGTGGCCTCTTGGGTCCCATGCTTTCTGGGTCCCCAGGTGCGCTCTTTCCTCCCTCTCTCTTCTCTTCCTCTCGTGCTCTCTACCCTTGCGCCCCCCTCAGGCCATGTCCAGTATGGACTCTTCCAGCTGCCTCTGGCTGTTTTCTCACTCCTATCTACAATAAACCTTCTCCTCAAACCCATACCTAGGAACAGTCATGTCCTCATTTTTTGTTTTCATTAACAAAATACTCCAAACTTGCCTACAGGCTAGTCTGATGGAGGCATTTACTTAGTTGAGGGTCCCTCTTTCCAGCTGACTCTAGCTTGTGTCAACTTGACCAAAAAAAAAAAAAAAAATTAACCAGTATATATGTACACATAAAGAATATAGACAAACAATATAAAAATGATTCTGGCTCCTGGTTCAGGCCCATGAAGGCAGAGAACTCATGGCTACGGCGGTAGGAACATGTGGCTTTGACTGTTCACATTTGTTTGGACCATGAAGTAGAGAGCTGCAGCTAGAAGCTCCATGTCTATGACCTTGGTCTGCTAGCCATGCTGCATGCCAACGACCTAAAGCAGCAGCGCCAGCTGGAGGCCACGTAAGTGGACACGTAATTGGACACGTAGTCCTGTTGGGGACACTTCAAATTTGAACTACTACAACTGTGTTGTAGAATATTAGTTGAAGATGTATTACATTTGTTTATGCTGTGGAACATTTGTTTAATGATGCAAAGATGTATTGCATTCTTTTATGTTGCATTTGTTTAACTCTGTAAAGCTGTGTTACTTTGCCTGTCTAAAACACCTGATGGTCTAATACAGAGCTGAACCATCAACAGCTATGCAGGAGAGAGATAGGTGGGGCTGCCAGGCAGAGAGAATAAATAAGAGAAAAAGAGAAGGGCAAGAAGCAAGAAAAGGAGGAGCAGAGGATGCTGGGAGTCAGCCACCCAGCCACCCAGCCACCCAGCCAGACATGGAATAAGAAGGAAAGAAAGGAATATAGAATGGAAAGGTAAAAGCTCAGAGGTAAAAGGTAGATGGGATAATTTAAGTTAGGAAAGCTGGCTATAAATAAGCCAAGCTAAGACCGGGCACTCATAAAGAAAGAATAAGTCTCTGTGTAATTATTTGGGTGCGGGTGTCCCAAAGAGTAAAGAGTAAAAAAACCAACTATACAACTGCTTTGTCAAAGGCATAAACACTGGGGAGGTTTTTTTATTGTTATTTTTTGTTAGTGTCTCTTTCTCCTTCTCCCTTCAGGTAGTGAAACTTGAAGCTTAGGTGGTAACTCTGGAACCATCAAATCAAACCCGGATGTGGAGAGTTGTTCAATGTTGGCATCAGTGAGAGAGAATGTGTATTTGTGTTAAGTCGCAGACTTCAGGTCTATTTGTTACTGTGGCACTTCACAGTCTAGACTGAGTAAGAACAGAGAGTCCACTTGACTTCTTATATAAAACGTGGAGCGGTTTAGAAATCTCTGGTGTTTATTATTTTGTTTGTTTTTCCAAAACAGGGTTTCCCCATGTAGCCCTGGCTGTCCTGGAACTCATTCTGTAGACCAGGCTGGCCTCAAACTCAGAGATCCACCTGCCTCTGCCTCCCAAGTGCTGAGATTAAAGGCGTGCACCACTACTGCCCGGCAAAATCCCTGGTGGTTTTATGTATGTAAACTGTATGTATGCATGTCTTTTGTTTGAGACAGTGTCTCAATTACTTTCTCTGTTGCTGTGATAAAATATCTTAACAAAAGCAACTTAAGGCTCACAGTTCAAGGGTACAGTCCATCATGGTAGAAGTCACGGCAGCAGGAGCTTGAGGTAGCTGGTCACACTGCACCCAGTCAGGATGCAGAGAGAAATGAATGCTGGAGCCCAGCTCACTTTCTCCTTTTCATATAGTCCAGGACCCTGACCCAGAGAATGTTGCCACACACATTCTGGATAGATTTTCCCACCTGAATGAACACAATCTACATAATCCCTCCCACACATGCTCAGAGGTTTGTCTCCAAGGTGATTCTATCAGTTCAGTTGATAATATTAATCATCACACAGGGTCTTGCTGTATAGTCCAGGCTAACCTCAATCTCCTGATTGCTGGCATAACAGGTGACACCACCACACCTAGTTTTGATGGTGGTCTTTGGTAATTCCAATGTTAAGCCTATGTTCCTCAGCAGTCACTGGGAAAAAGATGGCCTTTTGGAAGGAGCAAGTGCCTGACGACTAGGTGAGCCTTGCCACACCCTGGCTCACAGGGTAGGAGTTCCACCTGCAGCCATAGAGAGGAGACAGCACAGGTGGGCTCTTGGTGGGAAATGGGCTGCAGAGACAACAGTACCTTTGTGGACTCAGGGTCTAATCCTTGGATTACTGAGTTGGAAACTCCATCTTGACAACAACCTGGAAATGAACACAGAGGGAAGATCCTGAGGCTCATTTTACATGTGAAAGGTACTGGTTAACATTACTGGGCACTGGTCAAACAGCCAGCAAGTGCTACCTGAATGCCCATGCACTCATCTCCCCACGCCGCCCCGCCCCCCCCCCCCCCCCCCCCCCCCCCCCCCGCCCCCTGACTGAACCCAGGGCCTTGCCCTTGCTAGGCAAGCGCTCTACCACTGAGCTAAATCCCCAACCCTTCACTCATCCTTTCATATAAATCTTATTTTAGCTTTGAGACAGGGTCTCGTGTAGCCCAGGTTAGCCTTGTGTTCCTGTTTTCACTTCCCAAGGGATGGGATCTCATGTGTGCACCATTACCAGCACAACCTGGGACTGATTTATAAAGTCATGAAGAAATGGACTGGGTTCTTAGTTTCAGCTCAGATGTTCTCGGAGGTTCCCATGTGGAAGCTGAAGCTCAGCACAGACCTGAGGCAGCTGAGAGCCTCTAGCTCTCCTGTAACCAGCCTAGGCTGCAATCGCCCCCTCTTCTAGAGCAGTCACATCCTAACTGAATGAACATCGGATTCTACATCTTGTCACTGTGGTTGACCATCAAAGCAGTGTCATAAGGATCCATTCAAAGCAGTTTTGAGGGTAGGCTGGATGTCTTAGTAATTCAGAACCCATACTCTTCTTCCACAGGACCCAAATTCAGTCTCTGCAGTTGGAATTTTCTTTGGGCTGCCAACCAGCTCCCAAATAAAGACATGGAGACTTATTATTAGTTTTGAATGCTCTGCTTTAGCTTAGGCTTGTCCCACTAGCTCTTTTAACTGATTTTAACCTGTTTCTATTCATCTACATTTTGCCTCAGAGCTTTTTACCTTCCTTTCATTCTGTATGTCCTACTTTCCTGTTTCCTCTGTGTCTGTCTGTTTGGCTGGCCCTGGCATCTCCCTGGTGTCTCTTTCTCTTTCTTCCCCCAAGCCTAAATTCCTCCTCCTACTTACTCTCCCCACCCAGAAGTCCCACCAACACCTCCTGCCTCATTATTGGCTGTTCAGCTTTTTATTAGACCAATCAGGTGCCTTAGGTAGGCAAGGTAAAACAGCAACACATCTTTACATAGTTAAACAAACGCAACATAAACAAATGCAACACATCTTTACATAGTTAAACAAATATTTTGCAACAAGTCTCCACCACCCAAGTCTGAAGGACAGCTCACAATCCCCTTTAACTTCAGCTCCAGGGGGTCTGACACCCCCTTCTGGCCTCTCTAGGAAGCTGCCAATACATGGCACATACACACACACAGAGCCTAGGACTAGTGCAGCGCCATCTCTGGTCATAAACAGCCATAGGGTTCTATTTGTGAGCCGTCAGGAAACAAGTTCAGGCAGGTCAGCATGGGCCACGGTGTGAACTGCGAGCAGAGAAAGCCTTTCGTTTTCCACACTTTGGATGCAGACATGTAGGTAAGGCACCACTGAGGCATATTACACAACTGACTTCATTTTCTGTTTGGCATCCCAACCAACATTAGAATGTAGACTAGTTTTGTGCAGGATTTTTTTCCTTTTTTTAATAATTTATTTTTATTTCCTGTGCATTGGTGTTTTGCCTGTATGCTGTCTGGGTGAGGGTGTCAGATCTTGCAGTTACAGACAGTTGTGAGCTGCCATGTGGTTGCTGGGAACTGAACCTGGGTCCTCTGCAAGAGCAGCCAGTTAACTGCTGAGCCATCTCTCCAGCCCCAAGAATATTTATCTTTATGATTTTAAATTTCATGTGTGTGTTTGCATGTGGGTATGGACATGTAAATTCAAGTGCCCATGAAGGTCACATGCATTGATCCCCTGGAACTGGAGTTACTGGTAGTTGTGAACTGGGAACCCACTTGGGTCCTCTGGAAGAGCAGTAAGCTCTCAAACATCGAGCCAACTCTCCAGCCTTTAGGCAAGGTTTATAAAAACAATGTTTTAGATAGGGTCTCATGTAGCCCAGGCTGACCGTGAACTTCTGATCCTCCTGTCTTCACCTCCCAAGTGCTGAGCTTACCAGCACATACCACCACATCCAGCTTTATTTACTGAGACAGGGTGTCACTCTGTATTCCATGCTGGGCTGTCCTGGAACTGACTAGTCTCCAAAATCCTCTTGACTTGTCCTCCTGAATGCTAGGATTCTAAGTATTAGCCACTTTTAGACATCACTACAATTAGAGTTTAGAGCTACCCCTAAGAGAGGTGTATAATACATAAGCGTCTGTGGCGCAGATCCTTACATACAGTAAGTGCTCAATAAGTGCGGATGGAAGAAAGTAAGGGGACTCAAGAGTGCTGAGGTCCCCTGTCTAAGGTTGCACAGCCAGTGATTCAGGCTATGATACTCAAGTCTGCCTTTATTATGCATCCATCCGTTTATTTAACTTATCCCACTTAATAACATCAGCTTGGTATCATCACTATGCTCCTGTTCCTAGAACGCAGCACAACAGAGGACCAAAGGCTAGACTCCTCCACAAGTGCGGGACTAACAGTTGCCTAGGTAACAAAAACTGGACTTTGTCCCTACAATCCAAAAGAAACCAGCGATGACGTAACCGCGGAGGCGGAGCATCTGCCATTCCTCACAGGCTCCTCCCAACGCAGCTGCAGCCCCGCCCCACGGGCAGCACAGAATGTGCCCCCGAACCCTGGCCTCGTCAGCCTCCCCCTCCCACAGGCGGTGACGTCACAGGCTCCCCGGCTGAGCGGCCCCTCAACCACAGTACTTGAGAAAGAGCCGTGGGCGCCGGGCTTGCCCATGGCCGGGACTCTCGCTCTGATCCGGAGCTGGAACTTGGACTCACCTTTTCAGTTGTCCAGGAGAAACTTCCGGGGGGAGGGGCGGGGGGAAGGGAGAAGGGGGTGCTGCGCGCGCATCCTCCGCTGGGCCTGAGAGTGGCGCGCAAGCGCTGCCAACTTCCTCTAACTCGACCCCCAAGTCCCGCTGGGAACTCCATTTCCCAGAAGGCTGAGCGGCAACGCCTCGATAACTAGGAGGAACCGGAAGAGGGATTATTCCAGTCCCTCATTGCTCACTCTCCCTCGACCCTCTCTGGCGCTTTTCCTCCTACTGCGCGTGTGCTAATCTGAAGCCAATCGCGATGAAGTACGAGATAGCTACCACTCAAAGGTTAGACTATCATTTCTAAACTCACCCCTTGCTTCTGCGTCAGCTGAGCCTCAGCTCCGCCCCTAAACAGTTTCCGTGGCAACCAGCTGTCGTCTCTTAATGGACGTTTCAGGGGGGCAGAAAGTGAAGGTAGGGTTATAAGAGGGTAGTGGACTGTCCGGCCCTGGTATCACCCACTCCTGACTCTGTTTCCACTGTACTGGCCAGAGCGCTCCGCCGGTGGACTCCAGACAACGATGGCTGCAGGAGGCTGGCGCGGAGATACCTGAGTGGGACGGCTCTGAGCTGTTCCTGGCACCGGACCGGAGACGCGCGCTTGAGGAGTTGTGTTTCCTGTGAGCCCGGAAAGCAGATGTTCACTCGGTCGCCCGCCTCGCCAGGTACGCTTCCCCCACGGAGACTCTGGCGCTCGCGGGCTTAGTGGTCCGCGGCGGGAGCGGCGGGAGGCCCTGATGGAAACCGGAACCCTTGCTTGCTCGCAGCCTTGTATAGGCTGGGCTTTTGTGCGGGCTTTCCTCTCGTGGAAACCAGGCCTGAGGGGAATCTTTTACTTGTTTGTTTGTTAAGGTTTTGTTGTATGTATGCATGTGTGTCTGAGTGTCTGTGCACCACCTGTGTGAAGGAACCCTGGAGACCATAGAGGATGTCGGATTCCCTGAAACTGGAGTTATACATAGGTGTGAGCCTCCATGTGCGTGCTGGGAGCCGAACCTCTGTCCTCCTGAAGATCAGCAATGGCTCTTAACCCAATATCCTTTAAAACAAAATACAAAATATCCTTTAAATCAAACAGAAAGGGGCGAAGAGCACTTGGTGCTGCTCTTGCCAAGGACCCAAGTTCAATTCCCAACATCCGTATTGTGGCTCACACACATCTATAGCTTGTTGTTGGTTGTTTTGGCTTTTTTTGGGGGCCTGTCACCCAGCTCCCAAATATCACACGGAAGCTTATTCTCACTTATAAATGCCCAGCCTAGCTTAATTTAACTTAGCCCCATCTATCTTTTGCCTCTGGGCCTTTCCTGGTCTCTTACTTCTGTATACCTTTCATTATTTCTTAATTCTGTCTGGCTGTGTAACTGGATGGCTGGATTGCCGGCCCCTGACATCCTCCTCCTTCTCTGGCTCCTCCCTCTCCCAGATTTCTGCTTCTATATATTCTCTCAGCCTGCCAGCCCCACCTATCCTTTCTCCTACCTTGCTATTGGCTGTACAGTTCTTTAGTAGACCTTCAGGTGTTTTAGACAGGCACAGTAACACAGCTTCACAGACTTAAAAAATGCAAAATAAACAAAAGCAACAGACCTTAAAATAATATTCCCCAACAGTAGCTCCAGTTTTAGGGGATCAGATGCCCTCTTCTGGCCACTGAAGACACCAGGTGTGCACACAGCACTTCCATGCAGGCATAAACAAACATAAAAATCGCTGGATGATGGTGTTGCACACCTTTAATCCCAGCACTTGGGAGGCAGAGCCAGGCGGATCTCTGTGAGTTCAAGGCCAACCTGGTCTACAGAGCGAGATCCAGGACAGGCACCAAAACTACACAGAGAAACCCTGTCTCAAAAAAACCAAAAAAAACAAAAACAACCCTCCCCCCCAAAAAAAACCCATAAAAATAAAGAATACTTTGTATCTATTCTTTGAGCAGCTCAAACATGTATACAGTGTATCTTGATCATGTCCATTTCACATCTTCTGCTAAAAAAGGGTATGGCCCAGGCTGGCTCCAAACTGGTTATTCTGCCTCCACCTCTTAAGCATAACCAGTGTCGTATATATCTGTCACCCAGGCAGATCCTCCTGTGTGCTTTAACGCAACATCTCCTTTATAACACCTGATACAGTGTAACTGCTATGTGACTAATTGTTATACTAGTTCAACTTTTTCAAACTATTTTCTTCTGCATCTGATTGGATCTATGAATGGAGAACTTATGAATATATGTTGACTTTGATACTATGGCTCATCACTTTAAAAAAAAGTAGCTAAAATATTGGTATTATAGAAATGGCAATTGTCCACATAGAGTGGGGGGATTAATTCACCCACTTCACATTCTACAAAATATAATTAGAAATCCAGCAGCATTGTTCCCACCCATTCAGCTAGATACTGTTTCTGCCAACAGTTTTTCACCTTTTTAGTTTTGGGGTTTTGTCTTTTGAGATTGATTTGTGTGTTAAGAGTATTTTTTTAAAGTGTTTTTTGCCTGCATGTATGTCTGTGCACCATATGTGTGTGTGTAATGCCCACAAAGATCAGAAGACAGCATTTGATCTCCTGGATGGTTTTGAGCCTCCCCAGTGGGTGTTGGGATTAAGGGAGTGTGCCACTGTTCAACCCACTTTTTTTTTTTTTTTTTTTTGGTTTTTCCTAAACAGGGTTTATTTGTGTAACAGCCCTGGCTGTCCTGGAACTCGATTTGTAGACCAGGCTGACCTCGAACTCAGAGATCTGCCTGCTTCTGCCTCCCAAGTGCTGGGATTAAAGACATGTGCCACCACTGCCCAGCCAGTTTTTTTTTGACAGTCTTGTATGTATCCCTGGCTGGCCTTAAACTGGAAATCCTTCTGCAACAGCCTCCCTAGAACAGGGTTGGCATGCACTACTATGCTCAGCTCCCCCCCGCCAATGCAAGCACATAAGGGTCCTTTTATTCAGGTTCAACCTGGGCCACCACATGGCAGATAGGAAGGAAATGTGACAATGGTCATGAGCCCAGGTGTAGAGGGTTTTTATAGGGAAAAACCACAAGCCAGGAATTGGCAACTTGGGACTGGGTAGAAGGGGCAAGGTGATTTTTTTGAAACTATTGGTCTAGACTTTTGGCAGGGAACCACAACCCACTGAACAGGATTATCTGGACTGCTCAGCAAGATTATCTAGATATCTCCAAGGGCCATAAACCACAGACAGGATCCTGTTAAGCTTTCCTTCCTGTATAAACAGCAGACAGGATGTCTGCAGGAGTATCTGGATCCTTAGGCTTTCCTTTAAACAGCAGACAGGATGTCTCCAGGAGGATACTGCTCTGTATCCATTTGAGTAATCATAGCATATTCCTGAACCTGTAAAGTCAAGTCTAGGCCTTCACATTCCCCCTTCACAAGTACCAATGACAGGACTCAATCATGAGTCCTACCTGTCCAGAGATTCAAGGGTATTGGGATGTAAGAACCATTAGCTAACAGATTTTTCTAGGGCAGTGACATCTGTATCTATTGCCATTCTTAAGGCCCCGTAGTTCTGATCTTTGAGTACAACCAGATTATAATCTTATATAGTACCTCTTTGGTTCTGCATAAAGAAGGTCAAGTGTCTTATCTTATTGTAGAACCATTTTAGTTAATAAATTTATAAATTTGACAACTCTAACAACTCTGAACCTATTTTCCTAGTATATCAATGAGCATTATAGTTGGCCATCTTGCCTCTCTGCCAGGGAATTTCCTTTTGACCCAGCATTTCAGCCTTTTCTGAACAGGGAACATGGGACGACATATTTTCTTCTGGAACTGCTTCAAGCTGGCATTGGGGTTCCATTGTCAGGGCCCCAAAAAGGCTGAAAGGTTGGTCAAAGGCCGGGCAATGGGGCATCTGTCAGAAGCATGTGGCTATCTGACCCTATAGAGACAGGGAACAATCACATTGGCTGGGCCAGTCCACATCAGCTCTTAGCAAGTCCGGAGCTCACAGTCATCTGGAGCAGTGTAGTCAGCAATTGAAGTTTGGGGTTGTCTGCCAGCCAAGTAGAAGTATGTTGAGACAAACTTAAACTAGGAACAGAAGTTAAAATTTATGAACTTATTTGGAACACTTAGGCACATAGCCTTAGTAATTGGGAAGAGCAGGAGTCCCAAGACCAGGAGAGAGAGAGAAAAAATACCATCCTTCGGAATACAAAATGACATAAAAATTTTAGATACATTCGTATTACCAATCTACTGAAATCCATACTGTAGACAAAGCAGGTAATGGGTATCTGTAAAACAGCAGAAGTGGACTCATACCTTTGAGTCCCAACAAGAGCTACAGATTTGGGTTAAAAGCTTGTATATTTTCCTTCTGTCCAGAAAGCCAGGTATAAATTGGACAGAGATTTTTGACCTGATGAGAAGCACTTTTAGGTTTATATTTAGATATATTTAGATGACAACTAAAATAAATCTAAAATGCTGAGCTTGTGACTGAACAGTAAGTAGTCATTGCTCTACCAGCTTATCAGGACTCTTAAATGTTAAGCTCTGAAATATTATATCATAGAACAGGAGAACAATCTGAAACTTTTTTTAATCTTAAATCATTTTCTGAGATCCTCAAAGCTTAGAAGTTTTCCTATCCTGAGACCTTTCTTAGACTCATATCTTAACCTTTATGACTTACTTAAACTTTTATATCTTAGAACATTTTCTTAAAACTGAGTTAACAAGCTGGCTATAGCCTTGCAGAATGATCTGGTTGTCTGATGCTGCCACACTGACAAAGTTAGAGCTAGCCTAGCCATCAGTACTATCAGAGATCTGAGAAGGATAAACTATATCTGAGTGCAGACCAAGAAGCTTCCAATCCTATAAATTACAGGGACTAATCCATACCCAGGTCTCCATAGTGTTGGAGGCACCAGTCAGAACAGCATCAATCTTCTTCCACCATCAGGCCCATAAGGCAGAGTATTTTTCCTGTGGAATAGGGATGCAGAAGACTGATCTTGATTTGTCCAGGCAAAAGGGTGCAATCAATTCCAGTTTCCTACTGCTTGTCTACAGTCTGGGCTG